ACACGGGGCTTGAACTCATGACCCTGAGATCCAGTCTTGAGCTGAGAACATGAGTCACACGCTTAACCGACTGAGCCCCCAGGCACCCTTCTTCGAGTTTGTTTTAAAACCTCCATCTTGGGGCGCCTGGGTGGCTCAGTGGGTTAAGCCGCTGCCTTCGGCTCAGGTCATGATCTCAGGGTCCTGGGATCGAGTCCCGCATGGGGCTCTCTGCTCAGCAGGGAGCCTGCTTCCCTCTCTCTCTCGCGCTCTCTCTCTCTCTGCCTGCCTCTCTGTCCACTTGTGATCTCTGTCAAATAAATAAATAAAATATTTAAAAAAAAATAAAAAAAAAAAATAAAACCTCCATCTTGCGGGCAACGGGCCGGCTCAGTCGATGGAGCACAAGACTCTTGGTCTCAGGGTTGTGAGTTCGAGCCCCTTGTGGGGCACAGAGATGTCTTAAAAAAAAAATGAAAATTTTCGTCTTGGAGTACTTTGGGGTTTACAGAAAAGCCAGTATAGAGTCTCACGTACCTTCCACCCCGTGCCGCTCGTGTTGATAACTTGTCAGAAGCAAGAAACTCACTTGTGTGTGCTCCCATCAGCTGCCTCCAGACCTTCGTCCGACCACCTGGGCTCTTCCACTAGGGTCCTTCTCTGTCCAGCAGCTGTGTACCCGTGCTGTCTCCTTACTCTCTCGAAATCTAGGACACTTCTTCAGTTGTACCTTGTTTTTCACAAGCTTGACAGTTTGGGGACTGCTCAGGTATTTTCTAAGAAGTCCCCTAATCTGGGCTGAGGGTTATGGGTTTTGGGGAAGAACACAGAGTTCAGAGAGAGTCAAGAGTAGCGTTGTGTCTTGTCATCTCCTATTAAGGGTTCCCGATGCTCCCCAGACGTCCCTCTGAGGTTGACCTTGATCTCGACCACTAGGCTGAGGTAGGGGCTGCCAGACCTCCCCACAGTCAGATCACCGCCCTCCCCTTCCCTGCTCTGTTCTTTGGAAGGGAGTCTCTGAGTCCAGGCTACACTTGGAGGGGGATTTATTTAGAAAATAATTTTTCGGGCGCCTGGGTGGCTCAGTGGGTTAAAGCCTCTGCCTTCAGCTCAGGTCATGATCCCAGGGTCCTGGGATGGAGTCCCGCATCTGGCTCTCCGCTCAGCAGGGAGCCTGCTTCCCTTCCTCTCTCTCTGCCTACCTCTCTGCCTACTTGTGATCTGTCAAATACAAATAAAACCTTTAAAAAAAAATTTTTCATATAGAAAAGCATAAGAAAGGATGCATGACCTATAATTACACTGCTTGACACCTGCTGACATTTAAAAAGAACAAAAGGGAGGTGCCTGGCTGGCTCAGTTGTTGAGTGTCTGCCTTTGGCTCAGGTCATGATCCTGGGGGCCTGGGATCAAGCCCTGCTCGGCGGGGGCCCAGCTTCTCCCTCTCCCACTCCCCCTCCTTATGTGTCCTCTCTAGCTGTGTCTCTCTCTGTCAAATAAATACAATCTTTTTTTTTTTTTAAAGATTTTATTTATTTGACAGACAGAGATCACAGTAGGCAGAGAGGCAGGCAGAGAAAGGGGGAAGCAGGCTCCCCACCGAGCAGAGAGCCTGATGCGGGGCTCGATCCCAGGACCCTGGGATCATGATCTGAGCCAAAGGCAGAGGCTTTAACCCACTGGGCCACCCAGGCGCACCCCCTAAAAAATTAAAAAAATAAAATAAATAAAAGGAACAGAAGAGGGATGCCTGGGGGACTCAGCTGGTTGAGCCTCCTACTGGATCTCCACTCAGCTCTCAATCTCAGGGTCCTGAGTTCAAACCACACATGGGGTTCCGCACTGGGTGTGGACCCTACTTAAAAAAATTTAAAAAAAGGGATGCCTTGGTGGCTCAGTCGGTTAAGCCACTATCTTTGGCTCAGGTCATGATCCTGGAGTCCCGCATCCGGGCTCCTAGCTCAGTGGGGAGCCTGCTTCTCCCTCTGCCTCTGCCTGCTTGTGCACTCACTCTCTCTCTCTCTCTCTCTCTGACAGATAAAGAAAGAAAATCTTTTTAAAAATTTTTAAAAATAAAAGGAATAAACACACATGGGTTCAAAAAAAGTTGAATGGTATACAAAGTACTATTAAAATTATTATTTTTAAAAAGATTTTTCATTTTATTTATTTGACAGAGATCACAAGGAGGCAGAGAGGCAGGCGGAGGGAGAGGGGGAAGCAGGCTCCCCACCAAGCAGAGAGCCCGACTCGGGACTTGACCCCAGGACCCTGGGATCATGACTAAGCCGAAGTCAGAGGCTCAACCCACTGAGCCAGCCAGGCGCCCTATTACTAAAATTATTAAAACCAAATGTAGAGTCTTTACTGTCTTAAAAAAGATATGGCCGTCCCAGCATGTGTATATGCACACGCACACGCACACGCACACACTGTAGCCTTGGTTCTGAGCCTGACCTGTTTGGGGCGTCTTCCTGGTGGGTACATAGGCCCGGGGCATCCCTGCTGCGCAGGCCTCCGCTTGTTAACTCTCCGCTCACCTGTGCCCCCAGGCCTGCCTCCCCTCCAGGGCCAGTGGCCTCCTCCTGCCCTGCCCTGGTCCAGCGGCCAGTGAGCGCCCTCCTGACCCCGTGAGTGCCATCAGAGCAGGGTAGAGATGGGAAGAGTGGAGGGACTGGCTGCCATGAGTGCTCGGACCGTCTCCGTACTTCCCCCAAACGCTGTGCTGTCTCAGCTTTGCCCGTGTCTCTGGCGTCTGCCAGTCCTGATTTCCTAATCTGTGAAATGGGGGCGACAACTTGAAGGGTCTTAGGGTAACAAAAAGCAGAGGTGAGCATGGAGTCCGAGTGCGGTGGGCATCATTGGGCACTGGGGCTTGTGTACACACTGGCTGCTCAGGGTGTGGGCACACACGGCTGGCCTGTGGGTAGAACACAGGCCCCGGTCCCGGGACTCCTGCCTGCAGAGTGGCCAGCGTGGCCCCAGACAAAGCCCACGGGTCCGCTGGGAGGCATGTCTTGTGTGGGGCCACGCAGCCTGCTGGGGACTGCCAGGACGGCAGCCCTGACCTGTCTGCTCACACCCTCTGCCTGTGGGAAGAAGGCACGACCTTGTCGCCCCAGGTCCCTGCAGTGGCCCTGAGTGCTGTCCCCTGCCATGTCTGCTGGAGGCCCCAGTGTGGCTGCATCCCCCCACCCCCCCTTCCCCCATTGGGTGATCCTATGTCTACCCACCTATGCCCTTTCCTGACTCCCAGCTGCCCTGCCCTAGACCTTGAGCTCCTTGAGGGCATGTTGCTGGGCGCTCCTCTGGGCACAATAAAGATTCCTGGAAGCAACAAATGGGTCCTGGCCTCTTTCTTGTCCGGCTGCTTGCCTCCGTGCCTGGTGTCAGCTGGGGTCAGGGGTAGGCTCCAGGGGCTGCCTGCCTTGTCTGAACTTGGGAGAACTTCTGTGTGACTGGGCAGTGGAGGTGGTGGGGGTGGACTGTAGACTGGCCCAGGCGGCTCACCTAAGCCTTCAAAGGCACGGGGGATGCTGGGCCCACAGGAATGATGACTGCAGCGCTTGCCAAGTGCCCCCTGGATGGTCCTCGGCGCGTCAAAGGGCCGTCCTTCACCTGGGTAGGCTTCAGTCAACACTGTGTCTCCGGCTGTCCCCATACAGCCACGTGCAGGGTGGGGGCGGGGGGCCTTACGCTAGCAGACAGCCGCTAGGGAGGTGGCAGATTGAAGAGAGTCGAGGATGGGGCCAGGGTCCGGGCCGCTGTCCACACGCAGGCAGCAGCAGCTGTGCCCCCAGGAGGCCGCTCTGGCCATTGCTGGGCCCCCACAGCCAGCCTAGGAAGGGGCGGGGCCGTGGTCGCCGCGGAGAGGGCCACCCTGTTGTCCCATTTCCGAGTGACCCCGGCCTCGGACTGACCCCGGCTTGGCTGACCCCGGCCGTCGGCGCCCTCCGCATTGAACTACCTGCCCGGACGTCCTCAGGGCTTCTACAGGCCCCACTTTTCCCAGCCCCCATCCCAAGGATCCCCGCCCAGCGGCGGGGAGCGATGTTCCAACCCCGCATATCGGCAGGGCCGGATGCTTTGCCTCGCCCAGCTCTTTGCAACCCCACCCGGCTCCCCTTCCCCACCCCCAGACCCCGCTCCTCCGCCAGCCCACACCGGCCCTCTCCACCCCTCGTGGGGTGCGCACAAGTGACTCCCGAGGGGGGCGCAGGACGAGAAACGAATGCCGGTTCGCCGGACCCGGTTGGGCGGGGCGCCCCACTTGTCCCGTGCCCGGCCACGGGGCTCCGGGAAACGCGAGGCGACGGAGGGGAGCGCAGTCCAGCAGGGCCCAGGTCAGGGTGAAGGAGAGGGGGGAAGGGTCGCGCACGTGGCTGGGGGGCGGGGCTGGCCGCTTCCGCACCCCCACCGGGCCACGTGGGGAGCGAAGCCCTCCCCCATCGAGAACGGGGGCGCGCCCGGGGCCAGGGTGGAAGCGTCCGGGGAAGGGGCGGGCTCCCGCCGGCCGCGCGCCCCGGCGTGGGGTGGGCGCGCCCGCGAGGGGGCGGGGCGCGCGCCGAGGAGGGCGGGCTGCGCCGGGCGGGGGTGGGGCCGCCCGGGGAGGGAGGGAGGGGCGTGCCCAGATGGGGCGGGGCGCTCCCGCGAGGGAGGATCGTACCGGGGAAGGGCGGAGCTTGGCGAGGTGAGGCGGGGGTACTCCGAGAAGGGCAAGGCCGCCGCGCCGCAGGGACCGGAGGCGGGGTCTTGGGCTGGGGGCCCCGCGTGAGGAGGGCGCGCTTCGGGAAGCCGGCGGCACCGAGCTCCGGGGCCGGAGTGGGCGCGCCGGGGGCGGCTCCTGCGGCCCAGACCCCGCCCCCGGCGGCCGCGCGCGGCGGGCAGGGCGGTGGAGGGCGCGCCGGGCGAGGGGCGTGGCCGCGCGCCCCGAGGGGGCGTCCTCCGGGCGGGGCGGGCCGCGGCCGCCCCCGCGGGCTCCGGTGCGTCAGGGCGCGTCAGGCGGGGCGGGGCGGGCCGAGCGCGGGCGGCGGCGGCGGCGGCGCGCGCCGGCCTCCGCCTCCTCCTCCTCCTCCGCCTCCCGCACTCGAGCAGCCGCCGCCGGCCGGACGGGCACCGCTCCCGCCGCCTCCTTTCAGCCCGCTCAGCCCGCGCCGCGCGCCCTTGCCCGGCATGTCGGCGGCCGTGGCGTGCGTGGATTACTTCGCTGCCGACGTGCTCATGGCCATCTCCTCGGGCGCCGTGGTGCACCGCGGGCGGCCGGGCCCCGAGGGCGCGGGCCCCGCCGCCGGCTTGGAGGTGCGCGCGCCGCGCCGCGAGGCCGCCCC